CGGATTCCATCAACTAGCCAGTGTCAACTGTCGCCCCTCCCCCCCAGGGGAGGGCCTTCTTTGTTGCTGCTCCGGCCCTCTGGAACGATCTCCCCATGGAGATTTGGACCCTCGCCACCCTTCAGGCTTTCCGCAAAGCCGTTAAAACCTGGCTGTTCCGGCAGGCCTGGGGCTGATGAGTTCCCAGCCCCACTCAAATTGTTGCGGCTGTTGACGAATTTTTTTATTTATTTTTTATATTTGTCTTGTCTTCTTGTTTTTTGTACTTCCCCTTTTCCCTATTTAGTTTGTTAGCCGCCCTGAGTCCCCTCGGGGAATAGGGTGGCATACAAGTTCAATAAAACTAAACTAATTCCCTGCAGTCTTGTTCTCAGAACTGTTTTCGTCACTGGCAACCATGAATAGGCTTAGTCTTATTGTGTTGACCATACTAGAACTCTTTCCCGGGGGCAATGATGTCTATAAAATACAATGTTAACATGACTTTTTTTTCATTTAGCTGTAGTGACTCTGCTGGGCTGCCACACTCTCTGACTCTCATAACTGTCAAAAGTGTTGCTTTATTGCAAGATGGTGTGCAGTTTAGCTGCTTCAGTCCTAAATAGGCTGCATACAATTGAATTGCTATCTTTATTGGGTACAGCTATAAGCTTTGCAGTTCTTGGGGAAAAATGCTTTGTAGAAAAATATACTAAGTGCACCGGAATAGTTTATGTTTCCACCCCATTACTCTGTGCAACGTGAGCCAACTGCTGACAACATCAAACCCCATTGAGGCTTTGTAAATCAAATGGTGTCATAATGGATTATAATAAAGGTAATGCTTTCCAATCCCCTTCTTCAATAATGGCACATTCTCTATAAATGTTGGAGAGATTTGTTGGAAGGCCAAAGGGGACACATTGGGATCTTACCTAAGTGCAGGATTGGCCACTTGGCTAGCTTCCCACAGGGAATTGTATCAGTGGAAAAAGAGGTTCATCAGGAAGGAGAGCTCAGGTGGCACACTGGTTAGAATGCAGTATTGTGGGCTAATTTGCCCATGGCCTGGAGTTCAATCCTGTCAGTTCAAAGTTGACTGAGCCTTCCATCCTTCCGAGGTTGGTAAAATGAGGACTCCGATTGCTGGGGGCAATATGCTGACTCTATAAACAGTGGAGTGCACTATGGAGTGGTATATAAGTTTAAGTGCTATTGTTGTTGTTATCTCCATGCAAGGGAAGCCTAGACCATTTGAAAGGCAAGTAAAGGGAAAATAAGAAATGGATACTGGACACTGGATGTGTCCAAAGAGATTTCCTTAGGATCTGAACTAGAGCAACAGGAAGAAAGCTGAATGACAACAAGTAATGACTTTCCATAACTCAGACAGAATTCTTAGTATAATCTTCTGTGCCTTCTGGCCTGAAGGTGTTGATCTCCCATCAATGTTAAATGATACTCTCGTGTTTTTATCCTCAGATAATTCTAAAATTGAGAAATTATCATAGAGATTCTAATCAATATCCAACAGGAATTGAGAAATTAGAATACCGGAGTCAGTAATTAATCCTTATTATATTATTATGTGATGTTATAATCCTTTGGTGAAACACCAGCTCTCTTCAAGAAAAGATCCTGTAGCCTTCAATGTGGTGTCCAAGGTCTTGATCTGTAACCTCCATTTAACCAGATATGACTTAATTTTACCAAATAGAACACATCCAATCTATGCCGGAGTCTAGTTCCTATGAGATTTCAGCCAAGCCAGAATACTGCTGAGGTGATGAAATTAGAACAGAGTACTTGGTGAGGCAAGACTCAGCAATTCCCAGGCAAGAACAAACTTTTATATCAAAAGTGAGCAGATACTTCTCAGTTTCAAAGCTATTGAATGTCTATGCCATGAATCTTGACACAGATTACCCTGCATCTTTTGCTGAGTCGTTGGATCTTGCTTAATCCCCTAGCAAATATCTGCCTATGGTGCACAGAAATCTCATTGCCATCACTGAAGGGAACATATCATTTGGTGTTTTCCCTCTTTACTCTAGTGCCATGATGGTGAACCTATGGCACGTGTGCCAGACATGGCATACAGTGCCCTCTCTAATGGCACGCGAGTTGTCATCCCAGTTCAGCTCTGCCACGCATGCGCGCCTGCCTCCTGATGGCCAGCTGGTCTTTGGGTCTCTGTCACGCATGCAGGAGGCTGTGTGTAGGGGGGGTGTGTAAGCACATGTGGTGGAGGCAGGGGCCCTGGTGCGCAAGTGCAGGAGAGGCATGCACAAGGGAGCGCATGCACGGAGGGAATGCAAATTGCATTTTGGGGATTCAGGTGCACGCTTTGGGCACTCGGTCCAGAAAAGGTTAGCCATCACTGCTCTAGTGTGTAGAGAGAAATGGAGCTCTCAAATCCTCTATTTCTTGCAAAGAAAAGAATACGTCTCTTTCTCCAAGCGACACTAACTGGAATCAGCCCTAAAGAAAGGAAAAGCACCATTGTAAAACAATGCTCCCAAACCACAGAATCAGCTCAAAACAATATTGTGAATGACGAAAGCTGCCGGGAGTTCAAGGAGCGCAAGTCACAGATCACAGGTCAACTAACATCATGACCAAAAGCTGCCACTATATTAAATCCTTGCCTGAAACATGACTGAAATTAGAATTAAAAATGGGTACAATGAAAATACTTAATAATATGCAATTATCCAATGTTACTTATTTCTTTGAGATGAAACTAAAACTAAAATCCCCTCAGGGCTACGGCAAAGAAGTCACTTAGAAAGTCACTTCAAAAGCAGTCCTCTCCTTCATCATACCAGATGACTGGCCTCTTATGGATCAGTGTTAT